GAGGGGCGGCCCGGGCGGGCTCCGTCCCGCGGGAAATTCCCTCTCGCCGCCGGCTTTGCCTGCGGAGGCGCTGAGCAAGCTTGCCGAGGCTTAGCTGGCGTGCGTACCTGACACCGATAGCATTTAATTATATTGCATTTCTTGTTTCTTCAGCCAGCCTTCCCTCTTCAGTCCTTTTCTGTATCGAGAAGCGTCTCGCGCCAGAAACATCTCTGGATGCTGGCAGCCGAGGTAGAAATAGCAATGTCAGAAAGGGTGCGACAATGCAGGTGTGCGATAATCATCTCCCGGCTGCCCTTCCCGGGGAGCGTCGGACTCAGTGGACTTCTTGCGTTCTCTCGCAGCCAGGGCTGTGACCTGGGACTGTTCACCCTTGTCCGCCGAGGTAGCCCTGCGGCAGCCTGCTCACCGCTTTCTCTCCCCCTGGGCAGAGCTGTGGAGATCTTACCCCTGCTTGTGGGGACTGACGGCTTTTCACAAGTTCGTGCCTCCAGAAGCCTTCCTGCTTTTGCTTGAAAAAGTGTTACCCTCACCTCCTCAGAAATGTTGGGTTGACTGTAGGGTACACAATGAAGGTTTGGTTTGTCTTCTGCACCCAGGAGGTTTGCCTTGCTTTGCTTTATTTGATCCCTTGTCAGCTTGAAGATGGGAGGAGTTGATCAGGTTTTTAATTAATCTTGCTCTTTAGCTGATTCTTTTTGAACAGCCTTACATCTTAACAGCACTTTGCTCTTAAAGAACTATTTGTAATGTTGAAAAGTTGTTTCTCCTGGGGGAGATCTACATTTTTTACAGTGAAACCATATGTGTAGTATTGCTGTGGTGGGGAAATGGTAGCAATTGAGTGGGTTTCCTAATCTTTGTTTAAGATAAGTGGCTGTCCTATTAATTGTGATACTAAGATCCTAAGATAGTTCATGTTGTATGGAAAAAATACTGGCAACAAAATATTTCCCTAAAAAGAATTAAACAGTCTGACTAACTGTTGAGATAGTTCTGGTGTACAAGTTTGCTTGACTAATTTTGTTTTCATACACAATATTTTCAGGTGGTGGTACTATTTTTTACAAGTACACATAGGCAGCATGTCCAGAAACTTTGTGTGGGTATTTTAGAAGATTTTGTCAAGTTTTCTTTGGCTACCTAATCTCTGTCATTAGAATAGATACCTACCTTAAACGTCTAGCATCTGTTTTGCCACACACCTGTTCGAGAACTCCCTTTAATCAGATAAAGGGTATTAAGGGTGTTTGGTTATTAATTTCTTGTAAAGTAGTTATTTGAAAGAAGAGTCACCGCCCTTTGAAAGGATAGTGCTTTTTTAGTGTTTTCATAGTTTTCTGATCTGTTACTTCTAGTTTAAAACGTATTAGAAAAGGGAGACATAAGATCTGAATTGATTATCAAACGGTTATTCCTAAGCAGGATGAGAGTGCAGTTGCTGAAAGTGTTGTGGTGAAAATGCCCTTCCTTTCCTCTTCCTGTGAAAAGTGTGACTGATAATTTGGGTAAACAGTAAAATAGTAATTCTGTGGCATCCTTGTTTAAATTTTTTCCTTTTTTTTTTCTTGGTGGTTGACACTTTAAAGTGAGCCAGTCATCCAAAGTATGGGAGTATGAATAATGGCTGTTACTGAATGTTTCAGGGTGTGGGTTTTTTTTTCCCCCTGCAGTTTGTAAGTCCCTGTGAAAGGCTTGAGTTCAGTACACAAACTTTGAATCTCCTTTGGAAAAACAGTGTTTCTGTAGAGGATGGTAAGATGGTCCATATGCTGTGTTTTGTGACAGTGTGTGCAACATTGAAAGCATAAACGTTGCTGCTAGCTGTTACTGGTTCTCACCATGTGGCTGTGAATAGTGGTACTTGGGAGTAAGATCCCATTGTGACTGAGAACCAACAACTGTATTTCTCTTCTGAGGATAATAACTACTGTGTTTTAACCATTTATAAAACTAAAGTGAAAAGATTTTGGCTGATTTTTGTCACCACTCTGTTTCCACCCACCTGCAAACCATCATCTCTTTTTTTTGGAAGACTGGGCAGCCAAATGTTTGCTCTCCAATTCACTTTTTAAAGAATTTTTTATTTTTACAGTTTTATTTCACTTTTTTTTTTCCTTAATAAAACCCAGTTTGTAGTACCTTGTAGTCTGATTTAGCTGTGTCTCAGTTTGTAGTACCTTGTAGTCTGATTTAGCTGTGTCTCAGTGTAACTAAGTTGTTAATGGAAGAGATTTTGATTAACTTGCTTGGTTAATCCAGTATATTTTTATCCAAGCAGTCAGACATAGGAATTTTATGACAATATGTGAAAAAAGGCAATTTCTTCCAGAATGTCACTGGGAAATTGGAGAGGAACCTGTAAAAGATGGGAATAGCACCATTAGATAGCACCATGTGGGGGGCCCTTAATGAGAGGAGGTTTCCCCATCCTGGGCTGGTCTGGTCGGGATGGGATTGTGTGTCCTCTGTGCTGTGCATTAGCCCCGTTAGCCCGCAGGTCATTGTTTGGGGTTTTTTTCTCCACCCCCCTCTGGTTATGGCCCTGCCTTTCCAAAGGACTTTTTCTAAGGCTTTGTCCTTCTTTAGAGTTCCAAGTACTCAGATCTCCAAGAAGGTGTCTTTACTTTTCAATGGCCGCTTCAGCTGCACTTGGTCTTTGGATGCTGCCCTGGCTTACGGTGGCCTTGTACCATGAAATGACTGGGTGGTAGAGGAGGACATTGGTAGGCAGGTCCGCTGGTAAGGGATAAGGGACCCCTTTTGCTTCCCTGCTCACTGTGTGCCTATTGAATTTTTCATCTTTTCCAGTTGTTGCTTGGCAGGTCTTACAGAAGTACACAGAGCTGGACCCTGTAGCAGAGACTTGGCTTTTCGTCTTGGAGCCTGAAATGCACCATTTTGCTCTGTCTTTACTTCTAAAGCCTTAGTCTTGAGACTTGTTCAGCGAGGTTGTTATTTATCTGTAGTGGAAGACTGCTCAATGTCAGCTATTGTACTTCAGCTGAGTCGGGTAAACGAAGGAATTGCTCAGACTGATAGTGTATTAGTGTGGGAAGTAAAAGTATGCTATGTGTTAATTTGCTTGAATATCTTAGAGTCTAAAATATCTCCCTCTTGATGAAGCATCACTATGTTGGCAAAGCAGGATGAAATCTGCTGTTCAGCAGTCAGGAATTTTATGCATGTACTCATCTGTTGTGGACAGTGGTGAAAGATGGATTCCTTCACGTTCAGTAAAATTACTTTTTTACCCATAAAATCAGAAACTTATTTTGATTTCAACTGAAATAACTGTGCCACACCAGACGTTTCCTGGAAAACAGCATGTGCAAACGCGTTTTCATGTAAATGTACTTACTGAGCTGATTTGCTTATCTCTTCTCCAAAATACATGGGTGCAGGTATCCATGACAGAAAGTTAAACAGTTTTTATTTTAAGCTGATGATAGAAGGAATATCAGTATTGCAACTGAGGTGAAGTTTTGGGTCTGCTATTCAAATGGAAGATCCTTCTGTGTGTTTCATCTCTTTCCTCTTCCTTTTGCCTTTCCTTCTGGTCAGTATAAAAATGTATTCCTAATTAGCATAAATTATTTAAAGACAAACAACACTGGGTTTTCTAGAAAGAGCAAAGTCAAAAATGCTTTAGTGAAATCAGCACTTTCTTGCCTGTTTGTTTTTAATAGCTGAAAGCAGCAGAAAAGGTGCTGATGCTGCCAGAATTGTGTACTCTCTAGGTGTATTGGCATTTCTTTAACGTAGTTTTGTGCCTGTGCCTTAAGCTGCATGGTGAACAAATCATTCTTCCTTTGAACAGTATAGTTGCTTTACCTCTGAAAATTTTTGAGGTAAACAACTAGTCCCATATATTTATCCAGTAGATAAATTCCAGTGCATGTTGTTACTGCTGATAATGTGGACTACTTTCTTTATTTCTGTCAGCAGTAAGGAATATACCAATTATGTTATTCAAGGAATATTTGGAATGGTGCATTATGTCTTGCAGTGCTGTGTTTAGTAATTTTTCTGTGTTCTCAAATATACCAACTAATACTCTTACAGCAAAGAACAGGATACAAACGATTTCATGGCAGGTTCTGATACACCTTTTTTGAAATATAGTATTTTATTCTGGTTATGCAGAGGCAAATCAGTTCTCTTGTTCTTAGCTAATGTGATGGTGCTGGTCATCCCCTTTGTCCACCTCTCTTTCTGCTCTGGAGATCTATGGTTCTTGGTTTTCAGAGATCCCGTGTAAGGCAAGATGGCTTTGTACTTCTCAGGCACTCATCTTAGGAAGGCACAGCAGGAGAATAGTCCATGCAAGATGTATGTGTTTCTGCAGTTCTTGACTTTCTGTTGAAAACTTGTGCATATCTCTGCGTGTTTGTTTTACTCTGCTGCATCTCTATTTTTTTCTTTACAAAAAAACCCCCACATGGTTCTTTCGCATGCCTTTGCCTTTTAGTGTTGACCTTACCTCATCTCTGTGTGGCCCTGTGGGTGTCCACTGGAGCTGTGCTGCATGTGTCTGTTACCTCCTTGGCTGAGATTTCCTTAGGCAAGAAACTCAAGTCTGGGGTGTCAGACCTCTGCAGCTATGCATACTTTTTTTGGATTGTTTTGTGGGGTGTTTGTGTGATTGCGTGTGTGTATACAAAGACAACATTCTCAGGAAGCTGCATTTTACTCTTAGAACTCTCTGTATTCTCCATCCCCAAATACAAATTCACAGACTTTTCAAATGAACATAGAGATTTGAAACTGTTTTGAGTCTGGCAGTATTGTGCACTTCGTGCCGAGAAAAGGAGAGAAAATAGATTATATCTTGAATGCAAGAGGCAATCTTGCAGGGTATGCATGTGCACGCTTAGGTATATGTGAGCTGTTGAAGGACTTAAATGCTGGAAATACAGTGAAATCAGCATTTCTGGTACCTGCTAACTCCTGTCATCACATTCTTCCCCGTGTTTACAGTGCATGTCCACATGTAAATCCTTTGAGAGTTGCTACCATTTAATAACTTTTAATTAAAACCTGTGCATTGCATCTGTAGGGAAGAAGTTGGTTTGTTTAAGAGCACTGCCTTGAGAAACTGTACAATATGTTAGTAATAGATGTACCCATTTTATATTTAACTAGTGTCTCGTGATGCATCTGTATTTGCTGTCTGTCTGATCTTCTGTGCTCATTTTTGCTGGCTTTTGTCTGCAGGAATGCAGAAAGAAAAAAAGTTAATCTCAGTTTACAAGGGAGCAATCTACTAGAAGCTGTGACTGAGTTTCCTGGTGGAGTTTTAGGATTCACTGATCTAGGTACCATTATGCTTATTACGACCAGGTTTTACCACATAATAAAATGAGTATGGCCTGTTAGAATATAGAGAATTGCAATTGCCCTTTGCCCCTGCTTATCTTTTAAGGTGTGCTGTTTCATAGGAATAACATAAGTCTCAATAGCAACCAGTAGTACCCCTGGTACTGCTCATTCATTAAAGCAGGTTATTTATTTTCAGAAAGGTTATTTATTTTCTGTTAGAAGCAAAGCAGGCAGCTGAGGATCAAAGCAGAGACCACTTAATACAATTTAGCATTGAAATCAATGCTGTGTCTGCTAATATTTTTATTTATTTTTATTTGTAGATAATCCTTAAAATAATTTGGTTCAATCTGACTTATTTATTTACAAGCTTGGAGAAAAGAAGTTAAAATAGTGTTATCGGATGAAGTAACTTGAAACTGCCTAATTCTAGGAAGCAAAGTACAAATTACTTCTCAAACAGAAAAACTAAGTTGATTTTCTCTCTAAATTAGGTAATAAGGAATCTGTCCTCTCTCTGTAGACCAGTGTTGTCTAATTAACTTTTTGGGTGGAATATATAATAAAAGAAAGGCTGGTTTGTTCTGTTTATTGCAGATTTTCATTCTATTGTTAGGTGTATTCAAGACATTCCCCTCAAGACCATGTGAAGCTTTATGTACAAGCTAATAGTGTGTGATGGCCTTTCTTTGTCTTTCAGATGGAAATACTTAGATAGTATACCTTCCTTGCTGGGTGTATGCCCATCAGCTGAGAGCTATTGCATTATTGCTAAGAAAAGTTTTTTGTGTATATAAAATGGCTGTAGTGGAGGATGTAATATAATGTGTCATTTTTAATTTGCAGGTTTCCACACTGTTGTGGTTCTTTGGATTTGTTTTTTTTTTTCTTGGAAATGGTAGGTCTAGGAAGCAGCTGCCGAGGGATGAAGTCTTCGCCGCTCCTCATGGCTGCACTTGTGGCATGCATCATTGTTTTGGGTTTCAATTACTGGATTGCAAGTTCTCGCAGCATGGATCTGCAGGTAATTTTCCTTTTGCTCTGCATGTTGTTTTGTACTTTCGTGGGTAATGAACATAGTTCACAAGAAGGATGCTTCCCTTGCATATAGCAAGCCAGGAGCTTCAGGTTGTTTTAGGAACTTTCGCAAATATTATATTTGTTGCTTATTAGTAGTGGGAGATGGGGGTAATAGGATGAATGCCTATTTGTAGGTGAGTGGGACGCAAAACTTGAAGACCTGCGTGTATATTCCTTCTGCTCACACAAGGCATTCAGCTATCTTATGCTGTTTCAGTTTAAAGATATGGCAAATGCCATCCTCTGGTTTTTTTTTCTTAACTGTACATTGAGACTGGCAATCTGTTTTTAATGGGAATGGGTTTTTGCAATTTGCTCAGCTGTCCTGGTTTCACTGCAGTTGGTAATGAAGCACCATGCAGCTGCTCATCACTCCCCCAGCACCAGGATCAGGAGGAGAATCAGAAGGGTATAAGCTGGAGAACTTGTGGCCTGAGATAAAGACAGTTTAATAGGGAAAGCAAAAGCCACACATGCAAGCAGACCAAAACAAAGAATTAATCCACTGCTTCCCCACGTCAGGCAGGGTTTCAGCCATCTCCAGGAGAGCAGGGCCTCATCAGGTGTAACAGTTACTTGGGAAGACAAATGCCATCACTCCAAATGTTCCCCCCCACCTTCCTTCTTCCCATCACTCTATATACTGTGCATGATGTCAATGGTCTGGAATATCCCTTTGGTCAGTTTGGGTCACCTGTCCCAGCTGTATGTTCTCGCAGCCTCCCATGTACCCCCAGCTTCCTTGCCAGTGAGGCAGTGTGAAAAGCAGAAAAGGCCTTGGCTCTGTGTAAGCCCTGCTCAGCAATAACAGAAACATCAACCCTGTGTTCAGCACAGATCCAAAACATAGCCCCATACTAGCCACTGTGAAGAAGGTTAACTCTATCCCAACCAAAACTAGCACACCCGTCTCCCTAGATTTGTTCTCTTACATGACCTATGAGATTGTATGTGTACTTTCCCATGAAATACAAGAAAATCTAGGTTGTTCAGTGTCTAAAAATCTGTATTTGTGTTTCTTAGTAGCCCTTCTAAAGGAGGACACAAAACTCACATAGAATAATTACCTGCTATTTTTTTAATGGTAACTATAGTTTTTGTGGCTGTTGAGCTTGTGTTTTAGTCTTTTCTAGAGCATTTATTCCAAAGTAGGCTGTGTGAATCAAGTTTCTGCTTTGTGACAATTCATGCAGGATGGATTTTTTTTTTTCCTTTGTTTTTAGCAAGGAAACCTAAAAGGGAACAACCTGGTATCATAGATTTACTTGTTCTAGAAAAACCAAGTGGAATTTTTTTTTTCTTTCTACTTCATCCTTATGAAAGAGGGATGTTGAACAGGGAGAGGGAGGTTGGTTCTTTTGGCTGGGGTGATTGACACACACAAAAAGAACTAACTAGCAGGCCTGCATTCCAAGCTCGTGGCCCTCCTAAGACTGTGGGGCAGGGTCATGAGTTTTTCTTTCTTCTCTCCTCGGAAGTGGGAGGCACTTCACTCTTACCTTAACCCAGGCAAGGTGTGTGTTGGAGCGGTCCGAGGTTCGCTTTGTTTTTCGGCCTGGTCATCTGGCTGTTTTCTGGCCTTGGCTTGCCTCCGTTTTTCCTGCGCCCTGTTCTGCCCCCAGCCCAGATCTGCTCGGATTTCATCGGAGAGGCTTGACCCAACTGCAGTGGAACTTTCTGGGGAGGAGGTCGCCTTTTCCTTTTTCTGATCCCGTGTTTGGCAGCAGCTTGTGCCCGTTGATGAAGGGCAGGAAATCCTGGCCACAGCCTGCGTGAGTTTTGTGGGAAGAACCCCCTTTTTCCCCTTTTCCCGTTCCCCTTCTCGGTGGGGGGGCAGGTCTCCATTTTCAGCTTCTCTCACATACCGGTCCCCACGTGGCTACCACCGGAGCCCAACACCGGCCCTGCCGACCAATGCCGAGCACTGCGGGCTCTGCTCCTCTGGTGATCCAACAGCACCTCCTCCTGACCATGGTTAGAATCGTGCCAAAAGGCAGAAAGTACTGAACTGTTTCCGTTCTGAAGGGGGTTTTTGGGTACCGGATTATTGCTTGGTTGGTTTTGTGTTCTTTTGTTGTTCTGCCAATACACATATATCCTTCAATAAAGGGCTGTTATTTTTCCTTTCTCCATACTTCCTCAACTGGAGCCTCTTAATTTTGGATTTACAATTGCTTAGAGGGAGGAGTTTGGTCTTCCTCATAACTCATCCTCCTTAGCAAAATACTTCAGTCTCATTAAACTGAGATGCCAGGTAATGACTGATGAGAGCTCCTCCCAGATTTTACCAGTGAATTTGTATCCTGTTTGTAACTGAGCTGAATTTTAGTACTGAGTTGACAGCTGGAGTTAAACTCTTGTTTCACCTCAGAGTGGGCACTGTTCAAACAGCCACTTGTCTCTGGCCATGCAGTTAAGGGTATGTCTTGGCTCTTCCTTATTGTGGCTTCTGAGGCTCTGGTCATCCCTTGCTTTCCCTTTAGTCATTGGCCTCAGGATGGTGGCTACCAGCAGGTAGTGACTGTGTCAATACCACTGAAGTTTTGCTACACAACTGTGAGGCAGCTGAGACTGATAAAAAATATGCTACCATCCTTGTTTAATCTTGGTCTCAATAACCTAGAGACATAAGGTCCTTTTTGATGTTGCTGATGTACTGTACTATCCCGTACATTTCTCCAAACTTAGCCTGAAAATCATTTCGGCATGGTCACGCACTCCAAATGGAATAAAAGCAAAGCTGAGGGCATGGATGGACCTTCTAAAGCACTCTGTCGATCCATTTGCTTGTTGGCAAGACTTTGCAGCTATTATGACTGAAATAGAATAAGTGCTTTTCTTTGCTCTTCCAACTAAACTGCAAGTCTTTTTTCTTATTGTTTTTCTCTACCTCCACTCCCTTCTCTTGCTTTCTGTGGCAGAGAAGCAGAGTAGGTGGGCCACAATATGGAGCATTACTGTGGTGTAAGAAGATTTTTTTGAAGTCTTGGAACATGCACAGTTTCTATACTATCTAATTTTTAGTCCACCTGGAATCATCAAGCCTTTTTGTCTGGGTACATTCTGTTGATGTCCTCACCCTCCTGCACGTCTTTATACTCCTCATTGTTGCAGAAAAACAATTTTAACCCAAAATGTTTAGAAACTGTCCTGTAAAACTAAATTGGTGCTTAAAAAAATAGAAGGGGAGTTAAAAAAAAGGAGCTTTGTTAACATCAGGCTTGATTCCTCATCTTATGTCTCTGTGTTCGTTTGTGAAATATGTGGTAGTGTTGAATTTTCTTCTGATTGTCTCTGTTCTTTGAGCAGTCATGAAGAATGATGATTTTCTGTTTCTAAATTGAGTTTTTCTCGTATGTGTATTTTATGTAATAGCCATATGTCAGTTGTTCATGTGAAAATTGGGCAGTGTTGTCATCCCTCTACTCTTTCATAGGTCTTCCAGGAAAACAGATTGATTTGAGAGATGAGTTTTCACTTTGAGTTGGTTTAGTATCAACACTGGGAAGTGTAGAGATGTCAGAATTGTGTGGGTTCAATTAAAGTAATTGTTTGGCCTTGTATATCAGAAGGATTGTGGACTGTAATCTTTTTTTTTTTTTTTTAAGCTCAAGTATGGAGGCAGCTTTCCATTTTTATCTTTAACTGAAATTTTGACAGTCTCTACCAAATATGCTATACTGTTAATTTATGTGAAACTGGGGAGATGTGTGTCTGTGTGTATGGAAAGTATCCCTGGCTGATGTAGTACTTCAATTACATGAATGTTGTTAGAGCTGTGAAATTTGCTATTCCTTGAATGTATTGGAAGAGAGTCTGGCAAGGGGGAAGCATTTCTGTTGCCTTTGGCTAATGTGCTTTTCCTCAGGGTCGAGTCATGGATCTGGAAGGCAAAGTCCGGAAGGCGGCAGCGGAGAGGGGTGCTGTGGAGCTCAAAAAGAATGAATTCCAAGGGGAGCTAGAGAAGCAGCGACAGCAGATTTACAAAATCCAGTCCTTGCACAGCTTTCAGATGGAAAATGCCGACAGAGCCCGTCAGGAAGAGAAGGTAGGGTTTCTTCTAGCCAGTTTTCTGTGAGACTGTGAATTACCAAGACAATCTCTGCAACAGAAAATGTTTCTCACATGTTCCAACTGGTGGGCATACAGTCAGTGTTGGTATGCCAAAACATTTATCTGTGTTTTATAATATTTAGAAAATGGACATTGAATGCATGTTATAGCATTTGCTGTGTAATATATGAAATACTAGAAACTGCAAGTAATGGCACTTCTGACTAAAACCCCTACCCTCTTTGTAAATCGTGGTTACCAGTCTTGGGTTGGTTTCTGGCTTTCTTTCCTGTGTACTAATGTTTTAATAATTAAAGAAAAGAGGAAAATGCACCAAGATATACATTTGTATTTCCAAATATGTTTGTAAGCATAAATGGTTGACGTTCATTTCTAAACACGTTACAAATTTTGTGGGACCTTGGCCTTTTGCCTCCAAAACTCAGTAGTGCTGGGAAGACATGAGAAGGTTAGACTTTCATGGCAGAGCTCCTGACTGTACAGTGTTGCCAGAGAGATGGAAGTGCTTTGTGAAGAATGTGAACTTAGCTAGTTAAATAGCAGTGTGTGCAGTTGCTGCTGTGTAGTATCCTGCAAACTGTTTTGTTGTGTATTTTCCTCCTGTTGCTGATACCATTTTTAATGTGGTAATGTGGCTGTTAGTCATTGATATCACTTTTCTCCCTGTTAGTAGAAATATTTAGTTGAAAGTGTTCAGTTGCTTCTCCTGTAGAGTCTCTTGACTGAAGTTTATAGATCAGCTTTCCAGGACTATTACTTCCAGCAGGCTGAACAGACACAACACATGATAGTAGTAGGTGTTCTTCAGGTAGTGGGTTCACCATGAGGGGATGGTTTGCTGTTCCAAACTTGTGGTGACTGAGCAAAATATCACCAGAATAATCTTTGAAGGATTTAGAGGAACAGAAGTTGAGTAAAAATGGAAGGTGGAGTATGCACATCAGTGGTATATGTCTTTATTTTGAAATAATTTTTACCCAAAGTCTTAAAAGAAATACTAAACCAATTCTTTTTACTTCTTTTGAGACAAATACGTTTCTTTGATAATGTCTCTCTTCTCTTTGGGTTCAGTCTTTGCATATACTTAAAAAAAGATGAGGTATAGTTTGTCTATTTATTTTTTAATGTATGTGTATATTAAAACAATATCCCAGGATGGTAAGACAGCATTTGAGTGGGTAATCAATCTTCTTGTTGCTTCTGCCTCCTAGTATTGGGTGTTGCTGCTGAGTGTTGTGGCATTGTTTTGCATTCTGCTTTTGTCTTGCAAGGAGTGAAAACACATGCATGAGTGGGGAAAAAAAACCCAACCCAAAAGATTCAAAGGTAAGAAAAGGGCAAATGTAACAGACTATTATGCTTCCTTTTCATAAGGAGATATAACCAGAGTTATTAAAAGACGCTAGAAGTGTAAGTGCTGGCCACGGAGTTTACAGCACAGACTAGCCAGATGGGTGATGTTGAGAGATTGACAGGAGCTCATCTGGCATCTATGCCAGGAAAAGTGGTGAAAAGTATTTTACAGAACCAGAACTCCTGTTGGACGTAGGGGAGAATGTGGTAGCCTGGGGAAGAGTCAAAGCAGCTTCTGGCAAAGAAAGTCTTTCTTCTGAAGTCTCTTGGAGTTTTTTCTGAGTGAATCAGTGACAAGGATGAAGGAGACAAATGAAAGCATTCACACCTGAAATTGCAAAAGTCAATATGTGCGTAGTTTGTAGAGATACTAAGCAGCCGTGCAGTAACACAGCGCTATCTCAGGGGTGAATGATAAGGCAAAAGTTACAAAGCAGCTTAGAAATACACTGGGTTAGTTTTTGTACTGTGGGAAGGTTACCAGTGGAGTTTTGGAGTGCTGGGAAAGACACACAGAGGAGAACAAGAAGGATAACCAAAGCTATGCAGTAGTTTTTCTGCAGGAATCCACAGTGTAGGTTACAGGCTGGACAGGAATCAGTGGAGGAGTCATCACAGTCGTCTCCAGGATTCAAAATGGAGCAGAAAATGTTTGTGGCTAGGAGAGACATGGCAGGGTTGTTCTCCATCCACTGATGGCCTTCGAAGGCTGTCATCAAGTTGTAGTTCAGACTGGGCAGAAGGTAGTGCTCTTCATGCAGTTGTGTGACATCCATAATATGCAGTTTGCAGTGGGTCTGTGTAGGTTAAAAAACAACTGGATAACCTGGGACAAGCACCTGCCCCACCACCCAATACCAAGGTGTTTATTCTGTTTTGAAGCATTCCTCAGCTGCTGCTTGGAAAATACTGTGCTTTATGGCTGCCATGGAATTAATTTGGCATTCCAGTGTTAGAGATGGGATGCTGGGAAAGGTGGATTTTGGGGCCAGTCTAGTAGCCCATCCTTCTTCAGTGCTTTTCCCTCCATCACTGTAAAATACGGTTGTTCAGTAACGGAACAGTCTTTGAAGCTTTCTTTGAAACCCCAGGAGCTGATGCTTTAGGAAGCATAACATGAAAGTGGTGCATTGGACTAATTTCCTGTTTTCTGTGTTTTGTGCCTGGAGAAGTGCATGTCTGAGGAGCCTGAAGTGGTAGGATGAGTGTGTATGTGCCTGTGCACCATCATGTGTCAAATTCAAAATTTGCTTTTGTTGCAGCACATGAGCAAATATCCTGCACAGGTGCTGTTTGTTTTCCAACTCTTAATTTAACAGTAGAGGGTTGTGTTACTGGGAACCTGTGTATGTGTCAAAGTTGCCGTCAGCCAAGTTCTCATGGATCTATCCATTGTAATTTAGGAATTCCTCTGATATGGTGGCAGGGAAGAGAGGGAAAGTTTAGTTCTCCTCACTAATGGCCTTTATCTGAAGAAGCTGTCTAGGTTCAGAGGTTATTCCACAGAGTGATGTGGGATATAAGGAAAGATGGTTTCTGAGTGCTTTTTTGTTTGTGCGTGTCTGTATCTATGTATAAGTGTGTCTGAAATCCCTGGGTTTCGGCTCCATGGATTCCAGTGGAATCTGGGATTCCTGGGAGGCGAGTAATGAATTCAATCTTTCTGGTTATGGGAAGCTTGCTCCTTGAACTGAGCTTTATTTACTCCATAAAGATTAGCAGCAAGTATTTACCTATTCAGGAAGAATGAATGCAAATCCAAATCCTGAGTTTCTCAACTTGTTTTACAAGTGATGCAAACTGTATAACTAACTGGAGAGGTCTTTGAGTCATAAATGAGATTTGCTTAGTTCTTCTTGTTGTTCATAAAGAAAAATAAAAATGCTTTCAGCAGATGTGTAGGAATGAATGGTCTCTCTCAAACCCTCCAAGTTTTCAGGGAGAAATGGTGGTTTTTCTGGTTATAGAAGAAATTTGTATGCAAGGAGACTTTCACAATCTGGTCTCCTTAGCAAAAGCAACATTAAAATAATATTTGAGACCCATCTTAATTGCAGTTCATCTCTGCTCACTGTGTCTTATTACTCTGCTGATAAAATACAGAATAATTATGCCACTGATTTAGTTTCATACCAAACTGATACACCAATAAGGTACTTGCCCTGTTAAAGTCATTGTCAGTGGCAGTGCAGTAATCACTTCGAGTTAAATCTGCCTTCTTTTGAAGTAGAACTGTCTCTGGCTACTTAAAGGATGAGGGCATAAAAAGTAGGAGGTAATCTGAGCTGGAAATACCCTGTGGGCTCACCTTTCACTGAAGCAATGTAATTCTGGAAAACTGCGGTTGTAATTATTCTCTTAAGTCTGAGTATGTATAAAACACTACTGTCAGTTTGTTTTTAAAAAACCTGCTTGAAATTTTAAGGAGTAGTGTAGATTTAGGAAATGGCTTTTGGAAAGCTCTACAGAAATAGAATGAAGAGATCAAGAAATCTTACCTGAACACTTGATAACAACAGATAAGGAATCAGGAGTGCAAAAGGGTTGTTTACAATCTGTAAGCAATTTGCTAAAGAAGAATATTCTCTGTGGTTGTTATTTGGGACTTGTAGCTATTGGGATGTACACAGCCACAGCTGTCTCTTTGAAGAGCGTATCAGGACAACAATATATGTAATATCTCTTACCTTTAACTGAAAAAACATGCTTTTGCAGTTGATAATTTTCTTTGAATTTACAAAATTCTTCCCCAGCCTATATCTTGTTTTACTGAGGAGAGGGGCCAAGGTATGTATGTTCTCTGTGAAGCACATCACTGTCTTGTTGCTCAGTGTTTTTTAACACAGGCCACAGCTTCTCTCTGGTCCCCTCCCTCTGGGAAAATTTCAATTCCCGGCACAGTCTTCTGAGACAAAATACCTATTGGTATGGAAGGAGTCAACTCCACTGAAAAGGAATTACAGTAAATCAGCAGGGAGTGAGAAGAAAGCCTTCTGTGAAAAGGAAAAGGTGCCTATGTGTATTTTGTTTTGTGTTTTTTTTTTTCAAACCAAACAATCTTGCATATTCTAGTTTTGGAAAGGCTTTGAGGAACATTCCATACTTGCCATAACATGATATTGCTAAATTAGCAAAAGAAATCAGTCTGATTACTCATAACTGGTACAGCAGACCACCTCTGTTCAAAATGTATCTTCCACATGGTGGGGAGAAGCAAAATCATCATCCGAGACTTGCTGCACTGTAGGCACCCTGAGAGTGGGAATTTAGAGTATGTGTAGTTTAAGAGTTAACTAGTGGAATGTTTCTACCTCTTCATAGCAAAATGAATGGACAAAAAGAAACGCAGAAGGTACCTTGGATGTATCTGTACAAGTTTTATATTAAGAATCTTGTATCATAGGTTTTTGTTTTCCTTACGCTGCCTACTATTTGGGTTTTAGTTAAATATAACAATATCTTGAAATTCCTGTAGCTCTACAGGGCTTATTTTCTCCAATCTGTTTGCTAGTGCACTGCACGTGTAAAAGTAATTTCTTTTTAATATGTGTTAACTTCCCCTCTCTTCTGCTGAGAGTGTAAGAAATTGTTAATCTTGTAATTTTGGTGGTTTCTGCAGTT